TTATAAGGTCTACTGTTGTTGTTGTTGTTGTTGTTAAGTGCCTTAGAGTCGGTTCCGACCCATAGCGACCCTGTACAGGGTTTCTGAGGCTGTAAATCTTTACGGGAGCAGAAAGCCTCATCTTTCTCCCGTGGAACGGCTGGTAGTTTCGAACTGCTGGCCTTAAGGTTCGCAGCCCGATTCGTAACCACTACGCTACCAGAGCTCCTTAAGGTCTACTATGAACAACTAATTAACAGAAAGGAAGTTTCCTTGGAGGTATGACCTGCCTCCAATATATTTGATACTCAGGAAAACTTGTTTGCTCTCTGCTGGGTCTGGATCTTGCATCTGATTCATCCTTCAACCTCCAGTTCTTAGGACTTGAGCCAGTGGCTTGCTCCCTTACCTGTCAATCCTGGGAGTCATCAGCAGCCTGCCTTCTTACCTGCTGGACCTGCTTGCCCACCTGCCTGCTATCTGATTCGCCAATCTTAGTTCATCAGCCCTGCAGTTACATGAGTCAAGCCTCCAACCTGACATATAGCCCAAGGAATAGGGCCTGAGACCACCTCTACAACTTTGTGAGCCAGTTCTTTGATATAAATATATCTTTATATATAAGCTTTACTGGTCTTGCTTCTCTAGAGAACTAAACCAAGTATCCTTCTTTTACTTGAAGCTCCCATTGTCCACATTTTATTTCCTTTCTTTGTAAGATCCAACTGCTGCTCCACAAACAGTTTTAAGCCCCCAACAAAAACTCCTCCAGGTTGCCATCCTTAAGTAGCAAGTACAACTTAGTGGGTAGGAGACAGGGTGCTTGAGTCTGTAGATCTGCGGCCATCCAGCTTCCTTGGCCTGAGGTAAGTCTTCACGCTTTAGGGTTGTGTTTACTAATCTGTAAAGTGGAGACACTGATAACAGCTATCTCATAGGGCTATTGTGAGGATACAATGGGATAATGACTCAGTACTGAATGCAATTGCTACTATTGTTGTTGTTAGGTGCCTATGGACCCAATCCTAGTGTCATATATTAAAGTTATCAAAGACTTCATTTTGCTTGGATCTACAATCAACACTCATGGAAGCAGCAGTCAAGAAATCAAACAATGTATTGCATTGCGGGAACCTGCTGCAAAACACCTCTTCAAAAATGTTACTGAGCATGCAATACAAACCATGTTACTGATGATGGAATAAAAAACATTGCATTTTACTACAACCAAAAAAAAAAAAAAATGTTACTGAGCAAAGATGTCACTTTAAAGACAAAGGTACAACTGATCCAAGCCATAGTACTTTCAGTCACCTCAGAATGCATGTGAAAGTTGGACAATGAATAAGGAAGACCATAGAAGAACCGATGCATGTGAATTATGGCTTTGGCAAAGAAGGTTGAAAGTACCATGGTCTGCTAGAAAAACTAACAAATCTCTCTTGGCAGAAGTACAGCCAGTATGTTCCTTAGAAGAGTGGACTGTGAGATTTCATCTCTCATACTTTGGACATGTTGTCAGGAGGTATCAGTTTCTGGAAAAGGACATCATGTTTGGGAACGTGGAACATCAGCAGGAAAGAGGAAGATCCCAGTGAAAAGGGCTGGACACAGTGACAGCAACAATTGGCTCAAACATAACAACAATCGTGAGGGTGGCACAGGAGTACGCAGTGTTTTGTTCTGTTGTGCACAGGGTTGCTATGAGTCAAAACAAACTCAATCACATGTAACAACAAGTGTCACAAAACAAAACATTACCGGGTCCTTTGCCATCCTCACAATAGTAGTAGGTATGTTTGACCTCATTGTTGTAACCATTTCTCAATCCATATCATTGAGGGGCTTCCTCTTTTTCACTGGCCCTCTACTTTGCCAACTATGATGTCCTTCTCCAGGAACTGGTCCCACTTTACAATATGTCCAAAGTAAGTGAGTAAAAAGTCTTGTCACCCACACTTCTAAAGAGTACTCTGTTTGTGCTTCTTTCCAGACAGATGTGTTCATTCTTAAGGCAGTCCGTGGTATAGTCAATAGTCTTTGCCCACACAATGATTCAAAGGCATACATTCTTGTTTGGTCTCCCTTTTTCATTGCCCAGTTTTTGCATGCATATGAAGTGACTGAGAATAGTACAGTTTTGCTCAGGTGCACCTTAGTACTTGAAGTGAAACCTTTGCCAGTAGAAAATCTAAGTCAGCGAAAACTTAACAAAACTGCACATTGCCAAATAGAGTATTTAGTACCATGTTTAGTCTTATGGATTTAACTATGCTTCTAAGTTACTTAGATCTATTAACTTATTTGTGAGTTTTAAAATAACTTGCATTTCACCATTCAAAGGAAAAGTCACTTAGCTAACACAAGACTAACAGCTTCCAGAGCAGACATAAAGATAACATGTATGGATACTTACAAATCCAGACTTCAGACAAAATATCAAAACAAATTAAAAAAACTTATTAGTCTGAGTTTTTAGAAGAGTTCCTGCTGAACTGTCAGATTAAAATATTATCTATATAAAACTATAGTAAATAATGAGTAAAAATTATGTCTCTTGCAACGTACAAATACAAATAATTCTTATTTAGGCATCAGTTTTATAACAGATTTTTAAACCTGTTGCCAAATAATTTAATCAGTGTTGTTCTGGTAAATGTTTAGCAACCAGCTCCCAGGGGGAAGACATGTACCTGATTTATAGTAGTTGTTCATTTCTATCCTACCATACCACCATTGTTGTTGTTGTTGTTATGTGCCATCGAGTCGGTTCCGACCCATAGTGACCCTGTATAGGGTTTCAGAGGGTGTAAATCTTTACGGGAGTAGAAAGCCTCATCTTTCTCCCGCGGAGCAGCTGGTAGTTTTGAACCGCTGACCTTAAGGTTCGCAGCCCGATTCGTAACCACTACGCTACCACCATTACCACAGTATATTTCATGGTAACCACGTGCATAGGATCGTGGCTGAGAGTCAGTGCTAGTTGGCTCTGTTACACCATCTAGATTGCTGTTGTGTTCCCTCAAGTCAATTCTGACTCAGAGCAAGCCTATAAAACAGAGTAGAACTTTCTCATAGGATTTCCTAGGCTATAACATTTACCAGAACAAATCACCAAGTCTTTTCTCTAAGGAATTACTGCTAGAACATCTGAACTGAGGACCTTTTGATGGGTAGGTGAGGGCTTAACCCTTGTGTCGTCTAGATAGTGAGATATTATTCACTATGGTTACGTATGTAACTCACCTCAATATTACTGTTGACAAAAATTTTTGAAAGAAAGGAAGTCACTAGCCCATGAGAAAATTGCTGTTGTTACTGTTGTTATTTGCCATCAAGTCGGTACTGACTCATAGTGACCCTATGGCACAACAGAACGAAACACTGCAAAAATTAAGTATAGGTAAATGATAAAGATTTTCTAGGAAGGTGGCTGAAGTAAATTTACAGAGACAACCCTGTTAGTGTAGTAGGTTACACACTGGGCTACTAGCCATAAGGTCAACAGTTCAAATCCAACAGTCACTCCAAAGCAGAAAAATGAGGCTTTCTGCCCCTGTAAAGATTTACAGCCTCTGAAAACCTACACAGGAAGTGACTAAATGGCACACAGCAGCAGCACTTATATAGGTATTGTTGTTAAGTGCTGTCGAGTCAGTTCTGACTCATAGAGACCCTGTATAAGGTTTCTGAAGAGCGACCGGTAAGCTTGAACCGCCAACCTTGAAATTCAAACCAACCCTGCGGTCTAGTGCATTATCTCACAGGCAAGTCATATTTTCCTTTAAAGGAGATTTGGTGGCACAGTAAGATAAGCAATGGGCTGCTGCTGACCAAGAGGTCAATATTTCAAATCCACCAGCTGCTCTATAGAAGAAAGATGAGGCTTTTTGCTCCTGTAAAAACATATAGCCTAGAAAACCCTATATAGGATTGCTATGCGTTGACTCAATGACAATGAGTTTAGTTTGGTTGGTTGGTTGTTTTTAAAATCATATTAAATTAAATTTTCATTTATTAAGATAAATCTTCCTTACAGAGAGATGATCCTTAACTTTCCATACAAGACTTATCTCTGTTTTATTAGTAAACCCACTATTATGCTAAAAAATCCTCCAGTCAATAAGAAAGACAAATTATTTTGATGAACAAGAGGAAATTATCTAGTTAATAATTTGTTTATCTGTATTTTAGTTAGGAAACAGAAGAACTAAGCTTCTAGAAATGCCACTCGGAAAATTACAGAGAAACCAAAATAAACTTTGTTGTCTTATTCCCAACTTTGAGCAACAGCCCACTCCTACAACTGATTCACTTCAGGAACCCTGGACTCATGGACCCCCTGATATTCTACAGGCCAGAGGAGCAGACAGAGACTTCCAAACATGTCTCTCTCACTATGTGTAAAATGCTTCTATCTCCTCAGTGCATACCTAAATTGAAAAATAAATTTAATTCTACTTTATTTAATTCTACTCTAATTCATAATGTTACACTTTAGACTTGCTTTATTGAAAAAAAGACCAACTGCTGAAAAACGTTACTGAGCAATTCCACAATCTCTCTGTACGTTACACTAAAAAGGTAAATCACACTGCTATTTCTATAGCTAAGAAAAAAAGAAATTTATTAAAAACCAATTATGTTACCCTGTCTTCATGATTTCAAGAAAAAGAGTAAACTAGATTTTAAAAAGAACAATGTTGCTGTTGTTGTGAAGTGCCACCGACTTGGTTCCAACCCATAGTGACCCTGTATAGGGTTTCCGAGGAGTGGCTGGTGAGCTTGAACTGCCGACCTTGCAGTTCAAATGGCTTTGCAGTCTGGCGCATTAACCCACAGTACCACACCAGGACTCCTTTAAATATTGCCTATAGTAAGGTAAGACTTCAGCCATAAGGGGACCTAGTATTGAGAAAAGCTATATTTACTTTGCTAGAAATCAATGGGAAAGTCTCTTATAATCGATACCATTAACATCTAGGGCTAGTATGAAGGGGTCATAGAAAGTCAACACATACTGCATTCTTTGCCTCTCACAGGGTCAGGCAGGCCAGAGCAGTCCACTGCAGAATTGGGGATGGCAACTCTCCACCTGGAGCCACTGCTATCACATTCCGTATATTCAAAGTGGTAATCTTTCTGCAATCATAAAATAAGCCTTTGTTAGAGCCAATTTTAATGGGACCACTGTGCATTTTCAATCAGGCCCAAACCTGTCTTCAGCCCTATTTCCAAGCTATACCCTCCACTCTTCCCACCTATACCAAGCAGTTTACTGATCAAAGAGGTAATATGCCATATACTAAGGAGGCACCAAGGATATTATGGAGGATTGGATAGTCAGTGCTTTCAAGCTGTACTATTGTTCTCAGTACCTTCCACCCATGAAGGTTACAGTATACGTTTCTATCTCTCTTGAGAGCTATAAAGCTCTGTAATAATTTATAGATATGAATAAAGAAAAAGCAAAATAACACTAGAAAACTGACTGCTGTCACTGACCCATATTTTTTGAGAAAGATATCAGAGAATCATCCCTGTGACTTGAATTCTCTGTTTAAAATTTAACAGAAGGTGGAATAATTAATCATGCAAACATCAGAAGACTCTACAAGTTCCTAATGTGCTCTCCCAGGCTCAATACACACCCACTCAGTGGGCTGCCATTAATCACAGGCTATTAAAATAGACCATTTATTACAGTTGCCAAATTAAAACTAACCCACTTATCTGTAGTCCTTGGTTGCTTTGAAGTTCTCACAGTGACCTCTTTTGATCAGTGCACACTGCACATGGGCCATATGTACTATGGAGCATTTTAAGGAAGGGAAGCTCTAAACATATCCCAGTACATTTTCTGTTGAATAAGGTTATTTATTCAGTTCAGTACCCTGATTGCTGTTATTCTGCTTCATCCACTCTTATTTTTCTCCATTATTATTTTTTTTTAAGTTTTTATTGTGAACTGAGTTAAAGTTTACATGGCAGATCATCAGTTTTACATTCAACAAATCATATACTTCATTTCATTACAATAATTATAATCCCCTCCATGTACCATCAGTTAACAGTATTTCTCTCTATTCACTTTAGCTCCTTTTAAAAAAATAAAAACACTCAGGCATATATAATAATTTACACCACCAAAGGACACATTCTGCAAGTCTGCCTCCTGGCCGCCACCTCTTAATCCCTCTCTTCCCATGAATCTAGAGTCCTCAGCTGCTCCCTCTCTCCATGTTCCCATCAATGCCTCCATCTCTGGTGTCGCTGTTTATTTGGACAAGGTCCTGCATTCCGCTTGTGCTCTTTTCCCTTGATGGTCCTAGGGTCCTCTGTTTCTGGACTATAAAATTAACTACTCCATTTTTTTTACAAAACTTCTAGCTTTACAATTGTGACAATCACAATTAGTCATGATGACAATTACTCACTATTGAATCATAAGAATCTTATCCCCATCTCTTTTACCAGACCCATCTAGACAAGATGAAAACTATTCAGTGGGGACTCTATCTTCCCACACAGTCTTAAACCAAACTTCCTCTTGAAACCTTGTAAGCCAGTCACTTTGAGCCTTTATCGCCCCCTCATTTTAGGTAGCCAATGTTTAAGTTGCCTGTCTCTATCTACTCTGTGTACCCTGTCTCCATTATTTTTATCTTATCAATGACAAGAGAGAATTGAAATACCAGTCATGTCACCATGGGAAAATCGATAGTGAGGTAAGTGTGTTATGTGTGTATACAGAGAGACTATCAGTTAAGAAATGGGTTCAGGAATCAAATCAGTCCTTTGTTTGAATTCCCATCTAATTAATCCACATCTGAGCTATGTAAATAGATAAGCCACTTTATCCATTTTTAATAGGTAAACTAATATATAATCCTATATATTAATAAGTAATATATAGGATTATATATTATATAATGATTAATGATTACCCTCATTAATGACAATAGGGACAGAGAGGATGATACATAGAGAGGTACTAGTGGTAAGAATAGGAACAAATTTGCTGACTGTATTTCTCCTATTTCAATATGTGCTATGAGTTGACCTGGCTCAACAACACTTAACAACAATAGCAATAATAACGAAGTCTATGATTCAGGCAAAAAATGAACATAAAACAGCTGAAATCCCTCTATCTCTGGGTCAACATTTTGTACTCACCAGCTGTTCCACAGGAGAAAGATGAGGCTTTCTTCTCCAACAAAGATTTGTAGCCTTGGAACGCCTATAAAGGGTCATTATGAGTTGGAACTGACTATAGGGCACAACAGTAACTATCTCTGTATTAGTTAACTATTACTGCTGCAACGAGTGGTGAATTACCCAATAAGCAAGGTAAGCACAGACTTATTTGTGCTTACTTATTAATCTTTAGTGAGCAATTTCCTAGATTTCACTACCTCTGTAATATTTACAAACTCAGGGGACTAAGATGTGGCTATCTTCCAAGGAACCTTTATTTAGCCTGGAATCTTGGCCTGGTTACACAGTGGTTAAAGCACTCGACTGCTAACCACAAGGTCAGAAGTTTCAACTCACTAGCTATTCCATAGGAGACAGGTGTGGCAGTCACTTGCACAGAGATTATTCTTGAATATCTTTTGTGGTAATTCTATTTTGTCCTGTAAGGTTGCTAGGAGTTAAAATTGACTCCATAGCAATAAGTTTGGTTTTCTTTTGTTGTTGTTGTTCAATGCTGCCAAGTCGGTTCCAACCCATAACAACCCTATATAGGGTTTCTGAGGAGCAGCTCGTGAGCCTGAACTGCCAACCTTGAGGTTCAAACTGACTTTGCAGTCCATGGCATTAAGCCACAACGCCACATCAAGTTTCTGTAAATCTGGCAGGAAGTTTTAACATGTGTAGTTATAATTCAACAATAATGAAATGTAAACCTATTTCATGTAGAGGGCACCACTTGGGGTCAGGGATTTAGACTGCAGCCCACACCAGATAGGTTTTACTTTAAATTATTGAATAGGCTACTGTATCTGAGCTGGTAATAAATAAGAAAAAGTATGCTTCTAAAGGCAACCTTTAAATGTACAGCATAGATCTAAGAAACAGTGTTGGGTTTTTGTTGTTGTTGTTAAGTGCCTTTGTATCAGTTCTGACCCATAGTGACCCTGTAGAGGGTGTCTGAGGAATGGCTGGTGAGCTTGACTCTCAGGTTCAAACCAACTTTGCAATCCAATGCATTAACCCACAGCACCACACTAGAAATACTGTAAAGTAGTAACATCACTATAGATACAATATACCCCTTATTTTTCCTCACTTTGGAAGGAAAAAGGTCTTTTCAGTGATCCTAATGGCAAAGCAAATGGAAGAAATCAGAAGGTGCACTAAAGGAATTGGCAAAGAATAAGGCACCAGGAATTGATGGAATAAAAATTTAAATCTTTCAAGACTGTGAGGCGGCACTAGATGCACTCACTCATCTATACCAAGAAATTTGGAAGACAACTATTTGGCCAACTGATTGGAAGAGATCCGAATTTGTGCCCATTCGAAAGAAAGATGACCCAATGGAATACAGAAATCAATGGCCAGTATCTTTGATATCCCATGCAAGTAAAGTTTTACTAAAGGTAATACAGAAATGGCACCAAGCATACATTGACAGAGAACTTCCAGAGGTTCAAGCCAGATTCAGAAGAGGCCGTAGAATGAGGGATATCAATGCTGATGTCCGATGGATCTTGGCTGAAAGCAGAGAATACCACAAAGATGTTTACCTGTGCTTTATTGACTATGCTAAGGCTGTCGATTGTGTGGATCATAACAAGCTATGGACAACATTGC